GGCTTTGGAATCAGGCTGTTGGGAGGGGGGATGGAATGGGATGTGAGAGAGGGAGGTTGTAATTGAATTATGCTATAAAGGAGTGATGGGGTGAGAATTATGATTAAATGGGTGATTATTGTAACAGTGCGAATGAGCCCTTTAAAAACAGGCCTGCTGGGCAGCAGAGCATGATGGGAAAGAGAACCTGGTTTATAAACCTTTTTGTCCCTCATCCCAGAGAGGTTTTGAGAAGAGTGGTAGCTCCTGGTGGATTTCTTCAGGACAGGCCTAGGAAATGAGCAAAGGTATCTGAGAAACAGGGATAGGGGCTGGGTAAAGAAAAAAATCTCCTTTGCCCAAGATTATCTGGGTCTTTATTTAGAGTTTCCTTTTCCTGGGTGAAGTGACCAGGGTTGTGTCTTCCTACTGTAGGGGAGGAAGGGAGAAAGGAAAAGAAGGAATCCCCCCCATTCCTCATTTCAGCTGAGGGAGCCTGTGATCAAGCAATGAGGGATTCACTCGGGGGCTATGTATTTTGAACCCTCTTCCCTTGTACATCAGCCTCTAGAAAGGAAGTGCCTGGGTGGAGGAACCCAATGAGGAGGCAGTATATATAATGAACTCTTGCAGCCCGGCTGACCAATTGTTTTCTTGGGACATTGGATATCCTGCAAGGATTGGCCTTTTAAGTTTGGCTAAAGGGCTAAAATGTCCACACCTTTTTCAGATCCTCAGTGCCAGATTCTCAATGGCAAAGTTCCATGGATGTCAAAGCATTAGTTAGGATACTGCACTATTCAGGGTGAGTGAGCATCTCACAGGCTGGTCTGTAATCTTTGTCCTGTCTATTAAATTGTAAGGTCATTGAGGTTATGTCTACACTGCCTCTCCCTTGTGGAAAAACATATGCAAGTGAGGTGAAGTGTGCAATATTGCCGCGCCTCATTTGCATAATTAATGAGGCTCCATTTTTGCACAAAAGGCTTTTGCGCAAAAAGGAGCCAGCTACACAGCTCCTTTTTGCACAAAACCCCCCTCTTGTGCAAGAGCCGTTCTTCTGGAAAAAAATTAGGAAGAACGGCTTTTAAGCAAGAGGGGGCTTTCACGCAAAAAGGAGCTGTGTAGGCAAAAGCCTCTTGCACAAAAACAGAGCCTCATTAAATATGCAAATGAGGCATGGCAATATTCCACGCTTAGCCTCATTTGCGTATGTTTTTCCGCAAGGGAGGGGCAGTGTAGACATAGCCTGAGACAGGGACTGTGCTTGCTATGTGTGTACACTACCTAGCACAGTAAATCCTAACCTAGGTTTGATGCCTCAAAGTGCTGCCATAATGCACATAAATAATCAATTCTTAGATAAAACAAATGAAATAGTATTTCCAGGAGGATTTTTTTTTTTCATTTAAAAAAATATATAATTAGAGACCTTACCCTTCCTCTGAGAGTCCCAAGTTCCGGATCAAGAACCCAGAAATGGTTTTAAACTGGTAGGCATACACAGCAATGAGGACCACCATTGAATAGGAGACAACAGTGTGCCAAAAATACTTCAGAATTAGTCTCCACCATTCATAGTGAACCTGAAACCAAATGCATCTCAGGTTAGATCCACTGACAGCATGTACGTCAAATACCCCCTACTATACACAATGCCAAACACAGCGCTATTGATGAGTTTGGAACTTGTGTGTGTGTGTGTGAGAGAAAGAGAGAGAGAGAGCACAAATCTTTCTTTCTCTAAATTCATTCTAATTGCTGTTCTCACCTGAATGGTTTCCCAACAAAATGAGCACCTTAGATACTTCATTCTACTTGAGACAGCCACTTCCATTCAAATTGAATGGTAGCTATATCACATGAGAAGTTTCCTAGACTAAGCATAAAGTATACAATATTAGAACTGGAAGGAACCTTGATAAGTCAAGTCCAGTCCCCTCCCCTTGTGGCAGGATGAAGCATCTAAATTAAATTAATGGAGATTGCCTATCTTCTAGAACTGGAAGGAACCTTGAAGGTCATTGAGACCAGTTCCCTGCCTTCACAGCAAGACTAAGTACCATCCCTGACAAATTTTTGCCTTAAATGGCCTCTATCTATCCCACCACATGAGCTAGCTCATCCCTGATAGATATATGTCTAACTTGCTCTGAAATAGCCCCAGAGATGGAGAGTCCACAACCTCCCTAAGCAATTTATTCCAGTGTTTAACCACCCTGACAATTAGGAAGTTTTTCCTAATGTCCAACTTAAACCTCCCTTGCTGCAGCTCAAGCCCATTGTTTCTTGTCCTATCATCAGGAGCCAAATAGAACAATTTTCCCCCGTCTTTCCTGTGACACCCTTTTAGATACTTGAAAACCACTATCATGTCCTCTCTGTCTTCTCTTTTCCAAACTAAACAAGCCCAATTCCTTCAGCCTTGTCCCATAGCTCATGTTTTCTAGACCTTTAATCACTTTTGTTGCTCTTCTCTGGACCCTCTCCAATTTCTCCACATCTTTCTTCAAATGTGGTGCCCAGAACTGGACACAATACAGTAATTCCTCATTTAACACGGTAGGTACATTTCAGAAAATGATCGTGCTAAGTGAAAACGTGTTATGCGAGGTCAATTTTCCCATTGAAAAGAATGGAAAAGGTGGGGGTTGTGTTTCAAGTGCACGTGCGCTCGTAGCTCCACCCTGCACTTGTTAGCAGCTGGGACCGGGACATAAGGTTGGGGGAGAAAGGGAACTGGGTTATAGCAGGGAGGGAAGGTGTGTGGCTTTGGAGAAGGGAAGGGAAGACAGGGGAGGGGGCTTGCAGGCAGCGGCTGGGTTTCCCCAGGTGGCTAGTCACTGGCAGCTGCGTGGGACTTCCCCTGCCTCCTTGCAAAGCAGCAGAGGTTTGCCACTCGCTGCGCAATTCCCCGGTGACCCCCTCTGGCTGGATGCCTCGCTCCCTCGCCTCCGCCCCCCACTTGCAGCCAGCGGCTGGGTTTCCCCGACTGGGTTTCCCCAGCTGGCTGGTAGCCGGCAGCTGCGTGGGGCTTCCCCCTCTGGAGGTTCGTTGCTCACCGCGCCATTCCCCGGCAACCCCCTCTGGGGATGCTTCATTCCCTCTCCTCCGCCCCCTGTTTACAGCCGACGGCTGGGTTTCCCCAGCTGGCCAGTCGCCTGCAGCTGCGCGGGGCTTCCCCTGCCCCCTGCAAAGAGCAGAAGTTCGCCGTTTGCAGTGCCATTCCCCAGCGACCCCTCCTTGCTGGACGTGAGGCATCCAGCCAGAAGGGGTCACTGGGGAACGGCACGGTGAGCGGCGAACCTCTGCCGCTTTGCAGGGAGGCAGGGGAAGCCCCACACAGCTGCCAGTGACCCCTAGCTGGTAGGGGAAATCGTGTTATTGCAGATACGGATCATGTTGTTCGAAAAATGTTCCCTTAAAAAAAAAATCTGTAGCTGGTGCAAATTGTCATTGCTGCAGTGAAATCAGTGACGTTTTGGCAATTTGCCCCAGCTGTGAATCTGCCCAGTAGGAAACAACATGAAGAGTGTGAACAGTCTAAATTGCTTACCTGATATAAAGTGACACAGAACAGAAAAAGCACAATGTACAGAATTTTGTAGACCACTACTTTGCCATTGAAACTGACAATGAAAAACATGGCAGCGCAGAAATAGATCCAATATTTCACCAGCATTTCTTTTATCAGAGAGCCAAAGATTTCCACCAGAGGACTGTGTGCAACTTCCTTTTCTGTAATAAAAACAATGCAGATTGGTCAGGTGTGATACTAGGATGTGCACGGTAATTGTAACACTCTAATTTTATTATTATTCAAAATTCCTAGGCTTTCAAAAATCTATCCTAATGTGTTTAATGTCCCATGTTAAACTATGTCACAGACATAGATTGCAACTATGTCATATACTTAGATTTTAGGGGCAGGGACAGTCTTTTTGTTCTGTGTTTGCGCTAGGGGCTGTACAATGGGATCCTGGCCCATGACACGGACTCTTAAATGCAAAAGTAAGACAAATAAATAATATAGGAATAAATTGCTAATATAGTAATGAGATAGCAATAGCTTACTGGCCGTAAGCTTTCCTGTTAAATGGCCTAATACATTGTGGGATTGGGTATCCTGTATAATGGCAATTTATAGGTGCCATGGTGATGGAGAATTGGAATCACAAGAGATAGATGGAGTATTAGGTAGTCTGATGTATCAGTGTTACTTTTTCTTACCATTCTCATCCACTGTCACTTCAGTGAGAGTTTCTTGCTTCTCCTCCATATGTCTTTTGATCATATGCTGCCTTAGCAATAGCCAGAATGTGAATGCATAAAAGATCTGCAATTAAGCCACAAATGTGGTTTACTTTTTTATGGAAAGAACCCACATAAAAAGGCAAATAACTCCTCTCCCTGGGAATATAGATTTGTAATTCTCTGTCCAAATGAGGTGGAAAAATAATAGCATATTATATAAAAAAAACTGGTCAAGGGCTTAGATTTTATATATGTTTAAAATTTAAATTATACATAAGGTGCAGAGTTTAGGTTGCAAGGTTTTAGGAACCACAACTTTTATTAGATATTTGTATAGCACCTAGCACAGAGGGGCTGACCCCAGGCACTACTTCAGTACAAACTGAGAATAATCATTTGCAAACAAACCATTTTAGTGAAAGTGCTGGTTTATTTATTGTCAACTTAATAATTTTGGCTTAGGCAGAAGGCAAAATGTGTCTAGTGTGACTGCAAATAGTCCCTTTGGATTCCCTTATTCCTAGCGCAAGCAGGAATACCGGCCACTAGCGGAGGTGCCCTCTCAGTTCAATTTAGCGAGTCTAGTTAAGACTTGCTAAATCAAACTCCAGAAGATCAATCACAGAAACATCAATCTTCCATTTTGTGAAGATGTAGCCTGGGAGATTCTAGACCCGGATCTGAATTTTGCAGCTGGCCTCAATCCATATAGTGCACTGAGCCCAAACCCTGAATCTGAACATCCTGAACCTTTCAGCAACTTCAGATATACATCTAGTTCTAAATTTTGTGACTCAGGCCCATCTCTTGGTAACCTGAGCTGAATCAAAAGGTTCCTGGAAGTCTAAGCAAATTAAGCCTCCTTCATCATGCCTCTCTGCTCTTGTTGCCATTCTTTCAAAGAAATGAATTGGGTGTGATAAGTACATGATGACCAAACTACATAAATCTCTTGTGTCTCTTTCTACCCAGGCTGAGAGTCTCTCTCATTTGGTCTCTGATCATGCCCTCTAATTTTTTTCCCAAAATAGGAGGTATAATTTACAAATCTATATTTTCTTGATTCTTTCCTTTATTTTTGCAATTAAATGAGAAAACACTAAATCTGTACCTTAGCACCAAGATGCACGCAAGGCAAAGAGTATGGTGCTAAATCAAAGTCAGTGAGCACGGATGTTGGAATTTCAGGAAACAGCTCTTCTTGTGAAATATTGAACCCTACGAAGAAATTGAGGATCACCAGGATAGTCCCATAGATGGCAAGGAATGGAGAGCTACACATGGCATAACGACGCCGGTCACGAACCATCCAAATGATACAAGACCAAATCAGCAGAACAAAAGTCAGCCAGCTGTTATGGGTGATGCTCCAAACCTGAAAACAGATACGTCTAAGTGAAAAATGCTGCTGTTTAAATCTTAATGAAGCCAAAATCACCTGAAAAGAAAGAGTCATATTATCAGCTTCAGAGCTCTAATTACCAGGAGAGTGATGCCATGGAAATCAATCTCCCCAGGTTTGATTTAGCAGGCCTAGTAAGGACCCGCTAAATTAACTGCTGATCACACACCCATCAACTTCAGTATTACGTCAAGTTGTGAGGAATTAATGGGAAAGTTTTTTCTAATGACCTCTCGCAGCGGGGACACCGTGGAAATTCAATCTAAAATACATCAACTACAGCTACACTATTCACATAGCTAGAGATGTGTATCTTAGGTCAACTTTCTCCCCTAGTGCAGACCTGGCCTCAGTTTTTACCTTTACACTCCACTTCAGCACAGGTACCTGACTATGGCCAAGTGAACAGATTTTTGTTTCATTTCCATCTATCAAGCAGCTGACCAACCAACAGCCTGATTTACACCATCTAGGCTCTCTGTGCATAACACAGGTACATGCTCCCATCTGTGCAAAAGTGGTCACAAAACTATAGGCCAGTGTGAGATTAGCTGATAATTTAGAACCAAGTGCACTACCCATTGCAAAATCTGGATAGGATTTCTTATCACTAGATATGCTTTTTCTGTTAGTGTTCTTCATTGCAATGTCAAGGGGAGAATATTCTCAAAGGTTGCTCTAAAAGTGAACTCGCTCCTGCTTTACATTGATGTAAGAGATCAAAATCCAGTCATTGCTGTATTAGTCCTTACTAACATTTTACTCTGCAATGGGCACTGCTGATCTATTCACCAGTCCTGATTCTACGACACATTCCCTATATACAATATGTGCAGAATTTAGTTTGACTTCATGGCTGTTGTGCAGAATATGAAGCATGGCCGTAGAAGTTTCAGAGGGGTAGCTGTGTTAGTCTGTTTCGGCAAAAACGAGGAGTCCTGCATCACCTTAAAGACTAACATATATTTGGGCATAAGCGTTTGCGACTGGAGCATCTGACAAAGTGGGCTCCTGCCCATGAAAGCTTATGCCCAAATAAATGTGTTAGATTTTAACAAACCACAAGACTCCTCATTGTTCTTGCCCTAGAAGAAAGCAGTGAATCCCTGATTCTTACAAGGCTTTGAGTCATAGAATCATAGAACCATAGAGCTGGAAGAGACCTCAGAAGGTCATCAAGTCCAGCCCCCTGCTCTAGGCAGGACCAATCCCAACTAAATCAACCTGGCCAGGGCTTTGTCAAGCCAAGTCTTAAACACCTCTAGGGATGGAGACTCCACTACTTCCCTAGGTAACCCATTCCAGTACTTCACTACCCTCCTAGTGAAATAGTTTTTCCTAATATCCAACCTGGACCTCTCCCACCACAACTTGAGACCATTGCTCCTTGTTCTGCCATCTGTCACTACTGTGAACAGCCTCTCTCCATTCTCTTTGGAACCTCCCTTCAGGAAGTTGAAGGCTGCTATCAAATCCCCCCCACTCTTCGCTTCTACAGACTAAACAGACCCAACTCCCTCAGCCTCTCCTCATAAGTCATATGCTCCAGCCCCCTAATCATTTTGGTTGCCCTCCGCTGGACCCTCTCCACTGCGTCCACATCCTTTTTGTAGTGGGGGGCCCAGAACTTATGCAGCCTAATATGCCATTAGCCTTCTTGGCTACAAGGGCACACTATGTCACCATACGATGTTTTCCTCCCCACACCAATTAACATATTCCATGTAACAACAAACTCTTTAGGAAGGCTCATGGAAACCAGAAAATGACACAAATATACAGACTCCCATTAACTCCATATCTTACCATCATGGCAATCAGTGCACTGACATAACTTTGATTCATAATGAACTGCCCCAGTACTGCCATACTGCTGGTCCCAGTCTCATCAGCGTCTGTGTTTTCAGGGGAGGTGTTCTCCTCTGGAAGAAATGTAAAGTGTACAAATACAGGTGAAGATGATTGAAGAGTCTGTAGTACACAGCTAAACCCTTACATTGAGAATTGATGGAATTCTGTATCCTTCAGAAGTCTTGTCTTGGAGGGGGAGGTTGTTTTGTGACTGCACTTAAGGAAATTGTGTGCATACCCCCTTGAGCTTTGGAAGGAGTTGACCATACCTCATAGATCCCATATAGAAAATATATCCCCTAAATAATCAATGTTAAATAGCTGGAGAGAAATTCTTGCTTTACATGTGCAAATATAACTCCCTGTAATTCAGGCTCATTTACCTGCAGCTTTTGCCTTGCTGCAGGTACCATATAATGCACAAGACGTCTTGGCCTCACCTGCCAAGAATGCAGCATTCCACATTCAAAAATTAGCTTGTTTTCCAAGATGTCACCGACAGAACCAGCCATAGAAAGAGCCTGTGTAATGTCTATTGGAAAAATGTACAGAGGGACCCATGTGTACAACAGAATCCCGGGCCCCTGGGCAATATCTGGGGAGCCCTGGCTCTGAGCTCCCAGAAGGGCGGGGCCCCAGGCAGAAGGGGTGGGGCCAGAGCAGCCAGCCCTCAATACCACCCAAACTGCATCAAGTACCACCCAAACTGCATCCATTATGACTCGGGACTCCAACATAAATTTAAAGGGCCTGGGTCTCTAGCCACTACCACAGTAGCAAGAAGCCAGGAGCCTTGGGCCCTTTTGAATCACTGGGTCCCAGAATAGTTGTCCTCTATATCCCGCCCCCACCTGGTTGGCAGACCTGCATGTGTATGACAAATGCAAAACCAATTTTTTGTTTCTGTTGCCTGCTTTCCAAGATGTTAGATGCCTACTACACATTGTGGTTTGAGTGTCATGCTTAGTCATGCAAACATCCCTCTCAAATACACAGTACCTGATGCAGGAGCATGGTGTCCTTCACTGGTATCTGCAGACACTTCACAGCTAGTGCTGTGTTCACACTGTAAAAGGGGCATGTCCTGCCAGGTTCCATTTGGAAAATAAGTCACCTAGAAAGGGAAATAGAATCTTGTCCCCTGCCTCACTTTTTGACAGACATTGTGCCGTGCCTTAGTCTAGGATACTGGTGTAACAGATCCGGAGCTGCGCAGTAACTGATGATTACTGTACATTGGCCTACCTATTGGGATTTTTATTGTATTGTTTTGGTACTAACTGGGGACTGGCAGGAGGAGAGCATGCAGGAAGGGAAAGCAAAGCTCAAGATAAGCCACTTCATAGCAAACATCTGATGATGGGGAAAACCTGCAAACATAGAAGGTTGAAAGTGGGAGGCCGTTTGGGGGGGGGGGGGGGGATATGAAGAAAAAACACCTGCATAGATTACATCGCGGGATGGTAAGCTTTTAGGTAAGTGATACATGCGGACTGGATAGCATCCTTTGTTCCTACTGTTAAATAATACAGGGTTTTCTGAAAACTGTCTTAGCAGTGCTCACCGCCATCTAGACTCCCAAAGGGAAGAACTCTAGGGACCCAAACTCAGTCAGAATTCATATAATGGTTTATGCTCAGTTGATACATAGGGTTCTGTATTCCAGGGTCCAGTCTAAGAGTGGAAGAATTATCATGCGGAGGCAGCGGTGAGAATGTGCGGAGAGTTGGGAAGTTGGTTTAGAACAAGTAGAAGTATGAGACAAGGAGATCCAATATCTCTGAGTATCTTCATCATGCACCTAGAGAGAGTGATAGACAAGATCAAGGAAGAGGTAGAAGGGATATTGGCACACGGGATTAGAATTAAAAACTTGAGGTTCGTGGATGATATACTTATTATCGAGGAAGATGAAGAGAAGCTAGCGAGAACGGTGCAGGTGCTAAATGAGGAGGGGAAGTGGAATGGACTGATTATGAATATTGATAAAACAAAGACTGGTAAGGAAATAGGAAGGAAGATCAGTGTAGATGGGATCGAACTAGAGCACATAGAGAAGCTCACATATTTGAGGAGCAACATGACGTATGATCTAGACTGTAAGAAGGAAATAGTGACTAGAATGGTGAAAGCAAGAGTGAGTTTGAGTTGCAATTAGAATAGCGAAAACAAGAGTGAGTTTGAAGGTGATGGATATGATCTGGAAAAGTAAAGTGATTAGCTTAGGAACGAAGCTGAGTGTCTTGAAAACATGAGAGACCTGGGTGATAACGAAAGATTCAAAGAGAAGGATGTTTGCCATTTGAGAGGCATTGCCATAGAAAGATCCTGAGAATAGGATGAATGCAGAAGAGCACCAACGAGGAATTATATAGGAAGATACAGCCAAAAAAGAGCCTACTGCAGAAGGTTATGCAATGGAAGTTACAGCTATTCGGGCATATCTGCAGAACGAATGATGAGCAAAAAGTTAAGACTCTGGTATTCAGCATAATGGATGGTCTGAATAAGAGAGGCAGACTCCACAGAGAATGGGTAGATGATATAGTAGATTGGTGCGGAGCTCGTCTACAGAAATGAAGCCACTCCGCACTGGACAGGGAAGATGGAAGGAAATAGTGAGGGAGGGAGGCATCAGACACCAATCGGCATTGAGCCCATGGTGGTTGATGATGCAGAGGTGGGTAAAGGCACGAAGCCTGTTACCTGAGGGAGCATACTCAGAGACCAGAAAGGGGACAGAGATGCAGCTAGCCTTGTCAGTGTCACTGCTGGTTTCCAGAATGCACCAAGAAAACAACAAAGTGGAGTGATTGCAAAGAATGTGGAATCTTTGGGAGCTCTTAGGTACTCGGTATTCTTTATAAATCCAGCCACATTTTTAGGTGCCTAATTCTAGATTTAAGGGCCTACCTTAAGACATTCACTTCTGAAAATGTTGGCCTTTCACACAAACTGCAGGAACCTTCTTAAGAGAGCCATTACCATTTTCTTCTCATTCTTTGCCATCCAGAGCACGGAGTCCATCTCCAATTCACTCTGCTCTTCTGGTGGTGAGTGGATGTCCTCTTTGCATTCCTGGGAATTAAAGAATTGCAATACACAGATGTTGCACAACTGGACCCAACTATATACCATCCAGTGCAATAGTTACTGCACTTTTACTGGCCATCACCCGTATAATTATTCCATGTACAGTAAAACTCCGGTGGTCCGGCATCCAGTGGTCCGGTACGCCTGATGGTCCAGCACCAACTGCAACCCGGAAGTGCTCCAGCAGCTGCTTCAAGTTGTTAGTCAATTACACTAACTGCGGCTGGATCTGCAGGCTAAAGGCTTGCAATTTATCTTTGCTCTATTGCCTCTGGGGGGGCGGGAAGGGAAGGAGAGAGGGAAGAGGAGAGAACCGACGG